TATTGCCTACTACGAATTAGGAGACAAGCTGAAACTGGAGCCCACGGTCTCTTGACTCCTTATCAGGACAGTGCTACTATCTATTGCTACAGGGATGCTGGCTATCTCATGCTGAGGCCATATTTAGTACTTAACTTCAGGCACTGAAGATGGGGAATTTAAAGCCCTGCTTTGTTTGACTTCCACTACATGAACTTTTCCACAGCTCTGCTTGGTCAAAACACGAGGCTGCTGCTGCTGCTTGGGGAGACAGGAGATGCTATTTTTTCAATCTGCCAGCAGGGGGTGACCAAAGGTAGCAAGTGCTTTCTTTGCCTCTGTCTCTAGCCCTTTGGTTCCATGGGGAACCTTTGACAATGTCAGACATTTTAACAGATTGTAATGCCTGGGAACTTTTTGGCATTAAGGAAACATGCACTGCCTGGTGAAAGATGTTTGGCAACATGGGATGGGGGAATCCTATGAATCCAGGCCACTTTGTGGAGTCTAGCAGAGTTTCAGATGGCATTCCTATACAGATATTATTCTAAGGAGGAAAAAAAAGGGAGGAGAAGACCTACTATTTGGTAATTAGACATTTTCCATCACTTTCAATATACCAGACATTCCCCCAAATGACCAGAGCAGGGGTGCAGCCTTATACAGTATACATTTCAGGTGTCACTTGTAAAGAACTTTAATTTTAACACATTTTTTTTCTTTTCAGCAGCCTGATGAGCTATGCTTTATAACACACACACACACACACACACACACATGCACACGCACGGAGGCACGCATGCACGCTCTTCTGCTGTTGTGATATTCTTTATGCTACCTCCTGGAGGCTTCTGTTGTTTAAGCCTCTCATAAAAAGGCTCGACGCACTGGCCCACAGTGACAAACAGGAAAAGTCAGCTCAGTTCTAGGATGTGGGCTGCAGAACGAGTCTAGGCTGACTGGCTATAAGTCAAAGGTGCTCTGAGCTCTGGAGAGATCAGAGGTACTTTTAGACTTTGCCTACTCTGCCCCCTTCTCCTACGGGAGGCAGATGTCCGGTTAACTGATTTTGAACGATGTGCAGTAAAGGGGCTTGCAATCTACTTTATAGACCTGTGTTAGAGCCATACTACCTCCACCATCAGGAAGTTCTTTGGCTCGAAGGTCAGGGGAAGAATATCAGGTAAAAAAGATAAGTGGTTTTTTGGGTGACTTTGAAGATTATCAATTATCTGGTTTTTTGGTCTTGACTTGCAGAGAGTGGAAGTGATTTGCCTAGGGTCCCACAGAGAATAAGTGAGAGAAATGGGATTTGAACCCAGAGCCTTGAATTGCTGCCAAATCCAGCTGTCTTTCCACTGCACCATCTAAAAAAAAAAATCTCCACGCCTTTATCACTTGCTTTTGCATGCTCTGTTTGATCTTACTTCTCTTAACTTCCTATCAGAACTTTTTGTCTTTAGTCATTAGAAGTTCAGCCTGGATGGGTGGGGTTCTGGGCATGGAGTATAAGGGGGAAAAGGGTGGCATATAACTAGACAGAGCACCCAGACTTCTCTAACAGGCAGTAGAAAGGGAACAAGGCCTAGAGGCCTCCAATTCTGTGCATCACTAATTCTGAGCTGAATATAGTTGGATTCTATGTCTATCTGGTCCTGTGAGGCCAAACCTGGATGAAGCCTAGATCTCCTCATACCAGTAGGGAGGGAGAGAAAGGGAGCTTCTATTGCTCACCAGAAGCTGGGCAGCTAGTGGTTCACTCTAAGGAAGAAGATGATGTTCAAGAAGGAGCCCCAAATCCCCAGAGAGGGGGAGAAGAGGGTGCAGCAGTTTTCACACGTTGTGGCTACAGTCAGTATTAGCCAAACTATTATCTCTGGGCTGCATATTCCCTAATGATGTCTTCATAGCAGAGATGGAGCTTGGGATCTAATCCATCCTAACTTGACAAAGGTAGGTACAGAAAAGAAGGAATTAAAATGACTCAGGTATATTCCCAAGGGAGATAAATCCACATTAGTAACAGACAGAGCTTGTGGCTGCAATCATCCCCAAAGCTTCAAGATTCTGTTCCTCCTGGACAAGTCTCTATGTCTTATCCTACTGGTACACAGACAAGAGGGTTTTATCCAGGAGGCAAATGGAAAGGTACTCTTGAAGTTGCTTGGGTAGAGATTCTTCTGACAGCACGAGGGCATAAGGAACATATGGCAGGACAGAAAGGGAAGGAAATGGATAGTGTATCTTTACTGTGATATTACTGCTCTGCTCCTCAAAGCATTTCCCTTTATCCCTCTCTAGTGGGCTAGTCAATCAGTAAGTACTTGAAAGTTGCTAGCTTGTATTTTCATTTGGGGCAGGACGGAAGAAGCCATGTGAATGAGGGGCTACAGCAGACAAAATGGGGCGAGAATTGATGCTGGGCACATGAGGGAAAAGAGAACTTCTTTATAGTGGACAATGTGCCTCAGAAGAAAAATGTTAGTCTCAGTCTCAAGCTGAAGTGTATCTAAGTACTTGTCCCCTGTCCCCATTATCTGGGAGCCAAGAATTCAAAATATACCTACATCTACTACAGTTAAGATCAGTTAAGATCACTAGCAAAATTCCTCACTGGTTCCATTATTGCCTGATGAGTGTACCTGAGCTCTCCAATTATCCAGGTAACCAAGAAGGGCTGTGCGAAGACTGGCTGTATTAGCTAAGGTACAGAGTGACTTGACATACCAACAATCCTTTGCAGTAACCAAGAGTAAACCCAGCTGTATGTGTAGAAAATCTGCAACTCTGAAGTCAGTTAAGCTCATACCAGCTTTTGAAGTAGACCCTGAGCCGTCTGGTGGTTTATGGACCTTTAAGAGACGTTCTTATCTTAAGAGACTCTCCTAACTGTTGGTTATGGAGCTCTCTGATACATCCTGGTTTATGGTTTTTGGAGATGTCATTTTACTGTCTGAGCTCAAGCCTTGAGCTACAGACTGCTTATCATCAAGAATGCATTCTGATTTGTATATCAAAGGGTTACAGCTCCCTACACCAGGTATTCCTGTTGGGAAAGGGGTTCCCTCACTCATTCCTTTTTAAGATTTTCTGCCTTTTCTTCCCTTTTTCCTGCCTTTCTTTGTATGGAAAGTACACAGACTCTCCCCATTTATCACTTGGCGGGCTGCTCAGCATAGGCTGGGTAGCTCCCATCCACATGTTTTTCTTCCCTACTTAATAAAAATCTTCTTTAATTTCACAGGCATTATCTTCCTCTGGTTTTCCTCCCTTGAGGGAAAAAGGGGATTTAGATCTTGAGAACTGGCCTTTGTATTCTCTGGGTATCTTTCCCCTTTGGAGGAAAAAGAGAACTCAATTCCCTAAAGAGAGCATCGGCCTCAGTTTACACAGGCAAAGCAGCTGAAAACAGAAGCTCAAAGTTAGAACATCTTTCAGGAGACTAGTCTACAGAACAATGTCACTGAGTTCCACACCAATGCTAACACTACAAAAGGAATGGCTACTCCAACTTTTGCAGAAGTGAGGATGGAACTTCATAGACAGGTAATTTTCTGACACCCACTCTCCCACTCTCAAACAACTTAACCTGTAAAATTAAATGAGATAATATTTCTAAAGCACTTAGCACAATGCCTGGAACACAGGGCTTAATAAATGCTTATTTCCTTCCTTCCTGTTCTGTGTGCCTTCCTTTTAGGTGCCTATTTTCTGCTAATCTGAAAAACTTATCTTTTTTAATGTGTCTGATGGATGGTAATGGGTCAGAAACACAAACAAGTTCCCACCGTTCCTGTGCTCTGTTCACCTGACATTGCTTAATATAAAAAGCAGTGTTTCAGTCAGTTCTTGTAATCTCTGCCTGCTTATTCAACCCATTTCTGTCTGCCTTCAAACAGAAGGTAACAATCAAGGTCCAGTACATGTGCAGATTGCATCTTATGGTCAGCATCTTTAAGATCTTATAAAATCACACAATTTCAGAATTGGAAGGGATCATGTCTCAGAGGCTCTCTCCAGTCCATTCTGTACATACTCAAGACCTCCTCACTATTTCCCATAAAAACATATTCTACTTCCAAGTACCTCTGTTGGGAAGTTTTTGCTTATATCAAGCTTGTCTCCTTTTCCACAGCTTCCACCTTGTGTTCCTGGTTCTGCCTTTTGTGGTCAAGCAGAATATGTCTAATCAGCCCTTCTGAGACATGTGTTCCCCCAAATCACTGGGCTATGCAAAACAGCGCAATTAAAAAAAAACCAAAGAGCTTATGTAAAAATGGAATTTGGGGTACAATGCTCAAAAACTTTATCAAGACACATAAAAAGCAGGAACCTAATAAAATGGCAGCACAGTTTTATACCTGTTAAATGGCTAAGAAAGACACAAATACTACAATAAATAGTGGCCCCCTTTGTGGCCTCAGGCTGCTGCTAACCGCCCACAAATCCAGGTCTCAGGCCACGGCAGAAAGGGGTAGGGATGGTATGGACCAGCCCTCCTTAGCCCACAGCTCCTACTGTACCAGAAGAATGAATATGGCACTTTACTCTGACAAAGACAGAAAGGTTGAAGCTTGTGAGTTACTGTAAAATACGTAGTATAAATATTATTAGTTCCATTTTTTACATGAGGAAATGAAGACTCAGAGAGATAGATAGATTTGTCCAAAGTTACACAAATTCACACATTTCAAATTCAGAGTCCTACTTTCCACTATATTGCACCAGTAAACATAAAGGAACAATAAAAAACTGTGCATATACCTGATTATAAAAGTCACTATACAGTAGTAGAGGTGAGGACTGTCTCACCAGGATTCTTAGCAAAGAGCTATGTTTGTTAAGCTGGGTTCTCTCATGTCACAGGTAAGATGTGGATGATGACAATGAGATTCTCTACGTGGGAGCAAGTTCAAATAACATCCACACTGTGGGGAGCAGTGGGCCCCAAGGAAGCCATAAGCTCAACATTCAGTTTTCATGCTATACTCCAGGTCATCTAACTCAGCTCCCAGGATTACCTTTGTCCAGGGATGCTCCTGCCATGTGGTAAAAGCTCAGGGCAGTGTCCACATCATTAATATTCTTCAGGAAAGTAAAGAAATTTTCCACCTCTTCAAATGTCAGGCCCTGAAAGAGAAGGGGGCATGATTCTGTCATAAAAAATTGTCAAAATGCATTAACGTAGGCAGAACTTTATGTCCAGGCTCTGAACAAGGACCGTGTGAAGGAATGTCCAATCAGGGTATCAATGGAAAAAAAGCCAATGTTCCACTTGTGTGGTAAAACGCGCGCCAAATCCTGAGTTAACTTGAATATTCTCCTTCATACACTTTTTACACACAGATGCCCTAAGAGAAAATACTTAAAAGAATCACCAGAATCTGAGCAAAACCAAACACAAGGCAGTTGTGCATTGTTCCAAAATAAAAGGCACACAACCAATCTGTCAACTCCATTCTGCTGAAGGCTTACTGTGTGAAGGAACTCTTCAAACTAGCTAGAGGCTTGATAATCTTAAATCTTATTTTTTGTGCACTTTTTAAAAAATTAATTAGTTAATTTTTAGTTTTCAACATTCGTTTTTATAAGATTTTGAGTTCTAAATTCTCCCCCCTCCCTCCACCAGCCCCTCCCCAAGACGGCATGCAATCTGATATAGGCTATACATGTATGATCATATTAAACGTTATTTCCACATTAGTTATGTCATGGAAGAAGAATCAGAACAAAAGGGAAAAACTTTGAGAAAGAAAAAACAAAAAACAACAAAAGAAAGAGCAAATAGTATGCTTTGATCTGCATTCAGACTCCATAGTTCTTTCTCTGGATGTAAATAGCATTTTCCATCAGGAGTCTTTTGGAATTGTCTTAGACTGCACTGCTGAGAAGAGCTCGGTCTATCAAAGTCAGTCATCCTGTGTATTGTTTAGAGCAAGAGCTGACACACAAATGAAAACTACAAGACGATCTGAGTTTAGGAAGTGAAGAATACTTACCTTAAGGTTTGTTCCCTGTGATGGGAAGAGTCTAGGAATTACCTAAATGTCAGCATCATAAAAGTTTAAACTTACTAAGGGGCTCCACTCCAGCAAGGCAAGACCTGTTATGACAACAGGGTCCCCTGAGGCACCGTGAGGCTGTTAACAGATGCTGGATTTTACTTAGCCTTGTTCTACCTTTCTACCTGAGCTGAGGAGAATACTAACTGAAATCAGGATGTGAGGGATGTCTTTCTCCCTTAATAGAGATAGCTATGTTTCAGCCAAACTGGCTTACTTGTTTTTTCCCATATATTATATTCTATCTGCTGTCCTCCATGCCTGGAATGCTCTCTCTTTTAAAAAAAATTTAATTTATTTTTTTTGTTCCATTTTAAGTTCCAAATCATCTCCCTCCCTCCCTCTCTACCCTGCACTAGAGAAGGCCACCATTTAACACTGATACACACACACACGTACATATACACATATATGCATGTATGTATGTGTATGTATGTATATATATACATATATATACACACACACACATACATACATACATACCATATATACAGGCAGACAGAGCTGTAAAACCATACTATGCACACTTCAATTTATCAGTAAGCTCCTTGAGGCCAAGGGTCATTTTCATTTTTGTGTATGTATCCCTATGGTCTAGAACAAAACATGGTATGTAGCAGGTGCTTAATAAATGCTTAATGAATTGAATTGGGACGAGTCTGAAATAAAATATACTTAAAGGAACTCTTCTGCTATCCTTAAAATTAGGTTATGGCATTGCCTTGGCACCCTGGAGAAACCTCTGCCTACTCTCTAGATTGCAGAGTCCCTACCCTGGACCACCATTCCATGCTCCCTCTCTGGACTTCCCTTCCTCCTCAGGAGGCCCCCTGCCCCCATGAAGGTGTCCCCTGTCCCTTGCTTTCCAGTTCCCCTCTAAGTGCTGTCTTACTCATTAGAGTGTAAGCTCTTTTAAGGCAAGGACTATCTTGTTTGCTTATATCTGTATGCTCAGAGCTTAGAAAAGCACCTGGCCCACAGTCAGCACTTAAAAAAAATGCTGTTTATCTATGAATGAATGAATAAATGAAAAAGCATTTATTAAGCAATGACTGTGCCAAGCACTGTGCTAAGTCTTGGGGACATGGCTCCTATACTTAAGGTGCTCACAGTAAAACAGGGGGACACGATACAAAGAGAATGTTTCAGCTGGAGGTCAAAAGGAAAGGTCTCATAGTGCTCAGGGTGCAGCAGCAAAGCGGATGATAGTTCATGTCTCTTCTTTTATGTCATTCCCACATTTGAATCATTTGACAGTGCCAAGGATGTGGTCGGGAGAATTTCTTCTGGGTCTTCAGCAGCCGTGGCTGTAACTCTCAGCAGCAGTTGCCAGGAGACAAATGTCCATCTGTCTCTCCATCTATCATTCCCATTTGATCAGGGAAGCTGTGAGGTGAACTGAGATTGCCTGGGTGGGATGCCACCTATTCCTTTGTAAAAGATTCCTGTCTCATTCCTCCTCTCCCATTTTAGAGTCATAGAATTTTATAACTTTAAGGAAGGACACTTTTGAGATCATCTAGTCCAAGCTTTTTTTTTTTTATGTATGGGAGAGCTTAGACTCAGAGAGGTTAAATAACTTGCTCAAAGTCACACAGCTAGTTAGGAGCAGAGCCAGGAATATAAACTGGTTCTTTTCTTCCTGGCACAATACTTTTTCCCACTACACTGCCCCAGTGCTTGATAACATGAGTAAGCAGGCTTAGCACCTGAGACCCAAGAGAGTAAATAAATCTCTGTCTAGGATGGAATCCCTTGGAAGGTAATCTGATGTTTACTTGGTGGTTTGTGTGATGGGCTGCACTCGTCATCCTTTTTCCATAGCCCACCAGGAAGAAGCAGATTGCTGCCTATGGAAAATCATCTTACACTTGTTTAAAAATCTTTTGCTCTGCTTAGACCATAAAGACTTGAAATCATGAAATCACAAAACCTGGTTCCACCATTTATTAGCACTATGATCCTGGGTCAGGTCACTTCCTCTTTGAGGTATCAATTTAGCTGATACTTTAACTCCTATTTCATAGGGCTATTGTGATGATTAAATAAAATAAGGAATATAAAGCAGCCTAGAAACATAAGGCATTACTATTATTTAGAGGCTTTACAAAGAGCTAATTTTCATGTAAAGGGCCGGGAAAACATTTCCAAAGAAGGCTAGGCTACTGTATTTTATATATTAGAAGATTATTAGAGCTATTGATAAAATATATGAAAAGGATTCCAGAAAGATTAATGATAAAAGAAACAGAAGGAATCACCTCAATCCAGTCCAAAACTGCACAAAAAGATGGCCAGGAGGGGATGGAGGCATGTAGAGGAACTGTACCAGGATGCCAGTGTGAGCTCAGTAAGCAGGCCAGAAGCTGGCAGGGGTGGGAAGAAAGCCTATGCCAGGAAGTCAGCATGAGCTCCTGCAAATGGACCTGAAACCAGTGAGGACTCTGAATAGGGGAATTAAAGCCAGGATGAGTTCTCATGATTGAGGACCTGAAGCCAGATTTGATCCCTGGCCTATCAGAACAGAAGCAGGGGACCGAACAAGCTCTCTGAGGTCACTGTCCTCGGAGGACTGAGAGCCATAGTAAGAGATAGGGCCAACTCAGCATCTAGGTGCCAGTTTATCCAGCATCCTACTGGGGTCTGGGAGTGCCAGAAGGTGGGATGAAACCAATTCCTGACCGGGCACTGTGCAGGTAGAAGGTAATGATAAGAGTAACAGTAATAATGATAGCTAGCATTTATATACTGCTTTAAGGCTTGTAAAGGGCTTTATCATTTGATCATCGCAACAACTCTATCAGGTAGGAGCTATTATTCCCATTTTACAGATGGGAAACTCAGGTTAAGAGAGGTTTAGTGACTTGGCCAAAGTCACAGATGTAGGAAATATCTGGGACAGGATTTGAACTCAGGTTTTCTTGACTCCAAGTCCAATACTCTACCCATTCTCTAACAGAATCTGTATGGTTGACCACCACAAGACTAAGATAGAAGCTAGGGTAGGACTTAATACCAGCCACTATCCAGAGATGAGCAGTGGTATCCAGACTACAGAATGGATAGAACCAAAAGAAGTCTACTTAATTCATCTAAGAGCTCTGGAGGTGAGGGCCTGAGCACAAAATCCAAACCGAGAATGGAGGTGGAAAATATGAGTAAACAGAAGAAAACACCGAGGTCAGTGAAGAAATTATGAGTTAAGAGAAACCTAAGAGGTAAACCGAGAAAGAGAGTAATGCTGCAATAAGTATAAGCAGAGCTTCAGAGGGGGAAAAATGGTTTGGACACAAAGACTATTAGAGGGGCTAAAAGAAATGAAACAAGATATAAAAAATTAAATTATACATAAAACTAGAGTTTGGAAAGAAAATGAAATGAAAATAAATAGCCTAGAAAAGAAAGTGTAAAATCTTACCTAAATAGTGTACTACCTACAAAACAGAATGAAGCAAACAGAACTCAACTTCATGAGACAATAAGAAGTATTAGAACAAAGTAAAATAACTGGAAAAAGTATAAAGAAAATGTAAAGCATCTACTATTAAAAAAAACTGACCTGGAAAGAGGTGAAAGAAAGATGATTTGAAAGCCATTAGACATATTGAAAGCCATGATGAAACAAAAAATGTAGACACTATATTTTGAAAAATCATAAAAGAAAACTGTCCACATATATTAGAAGCAAAGGGCAAAGAATATGTTGATCACCTCCTGGAAGAAATCCTGAAAACTAAAAATAGCCAGGAATGCTAGAGCCAAAATCCAAAGCTTCCACATCAAAAGAAAAAATACTGCAAGTTGACAGAGAGAGTTCAAGTACCCAGAGATCACAGTCAGAGGATCACACCAGATTTGACAATGACTATTATAAAGGACAGTAAATCTTAGAACAGCATAATCAAAAAGACAAAAGATAAAGGCTTATAACAAAGAGTAACAGCCTACAAAACTGAGTATAATCTTACAGGGAAAAGATTGTTAACCAAGTGGAAACTTTGAAATTCAAATGCAGGGGTTAAGAATAACTTAGAAAGATAAATAATTTAAGCAACTGAAAGTGCTAAA